TTTTTACCCGCTGTGCATAGATGTCACCAAATTCTTGCCAATTTCTTGCCGAACAGCTCTATTATCAAGTGAGCAACTTTCTACAGTATTTATTCTGTTGTTTTATTACCTTTTAAGATTTTAAAGCAATGTTTATAATTCTTTAACATTAAAAATACCTCAAGCTTTTCATTTGTGAGATCACCTCAGATGAATTACTCATTCGTGTTCTCTGTGTTTGCTGATAAACAATAACAAAATGCTTCATAATCAGCTGAGTTCACGTTACATTGTCTAGTGATAACATTTTAAACAGGATATTATTTGCAGCTGAAACACACCCAGCTCCAGTGCATGTCCATAAAAAATGCTCTGAATGGAGGTCTGTGTTGTGCAGTAGCTGAGGTGTTTGTGTGTGAGTAAATACGTGCAGATCAGAGGGTGTTTGACCACTTTAAGAACCAGCAGAGACCTGCTCATTACCTGATGGTCGGCTCACTCCGCTCAGCCATAAACCTTAAACACACACGCTCTCTGTGGAACACAGCGTCTTCTTGTAGCTGTAAATTTCTGCTGACGTTTTAAAATCTTCATACAGTACTTTTTCTATTTAAATATTCACATTCAAATTGTTGCTTTTTCTTGCTGCTGATAATTACTTGCCTCAGCTTAAGCATCATCATCATCCGTGTTACAATCTTCCTTGTCCATTAGATGAGGTGTAAAGGGAGTGATGTGTTCCAGTTCATGACGTTTTTTTCTCCTGACTTTCACTCATTCATCGGTGTCGTTCCCCCTTCAGCTCTGCCCTCCCATGCATGTTTTCACACACAACCAATTAGTGCTTTCATCCAGCRGGAGTTATGTAATAACAGCCAATATTTGCCCAGAACTCCTTTATTTAGGCTGAACTGAGGTTTGGAMAGACTTCAGTCACCTGGGAGGAGATGAAGGCTGGTGTTTCCAGTGCTGCTGTCAAAGGCCTCTTTCTGCTCATGCTGTACATGCCATGTTAACTCAGGGATGGTTATCGCAGTTAGCTTAAAACAGCCATGCTAAAGACTAATCGAGTAGAACATTTTGAAAAYGCAACCTACTATATGAAAAGTTCCAAAATGTCACACTTATGTGTTTGCAGACATCATCTCAGGAGAATCAGATACGGTGACAGACATAGAAGCCTTATGAGAGCCTTTAAGACACCTGCAGCTTCATGGGAATGTCATAAGCTTTGCAATAAAGCACAGTGTATAAATATTCAGTATATACAGTATAATAATAAATATATAAATATAAAAAAATGATTAAGTCACTGACAGCTGTGGGATCTTTGAATGTAAAGTAAATAAGCAACATTTTCTCTGTCAGTTATCAGCTACTTTGGTCATTATTGGACATATTTTTTAACCATAAACTTGAGTCAAGCAGATGTGCACCAAGCCTCTGTCATGCGTACTGTGGTGCTTAGATTCTTACCTGTCCAGAAGTAGGATGAAGTGAAGACAAACACASCAAGGTGATGACATTCAGAGCCGACAGAAACATGTTTCTGCTAAAACTAATAAAGCCTCAGATGTGTTCAAAGTTGCAGTAAGGTTAGATGTTGACAAAAACTCCTCAGAGTGTGTGAGGACTCCAGGTGAGAGAAGGTCAAGAGTGGAAAAGCTGCTGCAGCTGAAGGGTGTGGATGCTGTTTACTTCTCAGGAGCCAATCAGAAAAAAGAGACTTGGTGAAAAAATGTGACCACCTTATTATCCCTACTTGATTTGGAGTTCACTTCCTTTCTGCTCAAATCAGKTTTAAAATGTGAGGAGTTGTGCCCTCTGCAGGACTGTATGCAYACTGTACATGAATTACTCTGTGCTCACATGAATACATGCAGGTTCACCGGCTGGTGACATTTTTCTGGTTGTGTGAAAACCAGTTAGACATTTACATGATTTACATTTACATTATTGAGATGATAAATTTCTTTTCCRAATATTTTGTCACCTATTTTGTTTGCTCTAATTTTAGCCTCCTTCAGCTTCATTTTTTGGTGCTAATTTTAGCATTTTTTTCTGCTGTTTCAGCTATCCTTCAACTCTTTTCAGGTATTCTACTTATTTAATTTTTGGGGGCTTCTATCAGCTTCTTTCTGCTAATTTAAGCTTTTCTTATTTCAGCTGTTTTCTGCTATTTAAGCTACTTTTTAAAAGCTATTTTCATCTAATTTGAGCTTTTTGTCAGCTAAATTCACCTTTTTTGTGGTAATTTCAGCTACTTACTGCTTAGAAAACAAGTGTTCTTTCTGCTTTTTTGGGCTAGATTCAGCTTTTTCATCTATTTTTTATTATTTCAGCATCTTTGGCTATTTTACAACAAATTACAACTTTTTTCCTTTCTTGCAAACATTTTTCAGCATTATGCATTCATGATGCATTTTTTGCAGAAAATGTWAGTTTCATCTGTGGCCAAATTAGGTCATCAGTTTTTAATTATTGACTTTTAGCACAGACAGTAATTCATCTGAAAGAAGAAGAACTCATAAATTTGTCCTTTATTCTGCAAAGCAATGTCTAACTAATATTATTCTGTTACCTTTCCACAGTGAGCATATTCATTCATAAAATGTTTGATAAATGTTTTACGCGGGTTGCTCTTCCTGTCACAACCTGAGCTCAAACCTGCAGCCTCAGGATTACAAGATGATGGTACTGACCACCGAGCTACTCCAGACCCAAGATGTTAACCAACATATTAAAAACCCTGATTTCTTGCTTTGTAGGAATTCAGTGATCTTAAAATAGACAAGCTAAAAATGTTTTCATTACATCATTATTTAACTGACACAAGTATCTTTTAAAGAATCTAAACAAAACATAATTTAGGTGGCATCAATCTTCTTTTTCAAAAGTAAACTTTTAATAACTTGGAAACTGAAAACACTAAAAACTGTTATTTTCCAAGTGAGATTGGTGTCCATTCCTGCTGAACGGTGTCTGGTTGTTTTCTGAGTCACCTCTTCATGACGTGTTGTACGTTTTCAGTCGTGGACAAAACCAGACTGTGGTCAGGCCGGTCATCTGCAAACTCTGTGTTTTTATAAGCCACAAAGTGGGAAGTCACGCAGAATGAGTTCTGGGATTGTCCCAAAATAACCACAGACTTTCCCAGAAAAGATGTCACCTTGAAGCAAGCAGATGTTCCTCCTACATAACAATTATCTCTGCATCAGTTATGTCTCTGCTTGTTTATTCATTCCATAAATTCATAAATCCTAATATATAAACGGTTGTTTGTCGGCATGAAGGACGCGATGCTTGTTTAACCCAAAAATGATTTGAAACATAAACTCAGACAGAAAATGTTTCCACTGAGGCTGAGAAGATAATACAATCATGTCTTGTTTCTGCTAAAAGAAGATTTAATCAATAAACACATTAAAGATATAAATATTTGTCTTTAGAACAACTGTTCCAACATTTTAGGTGTCGGGGCTTATTTGACCTTACATTTAAATCATTATTAACCATTAGAGATGATTTCATTGTTTTTCTGCTCCACTTTTATCCCTCTTCTTTTGCTTGTTTGCTGTAAAGAGAGTAAATGTAAATGATTTGGCAACATTTTTCTTTTTATCCTCTAAAATAGTTGTAAAATTCTCTTTTAGAGAAAGCATGCTTTGTATAAATAAGTTTGTTTTTGTCAGACAATCAGCAGGTGATTTTAAGTGTTTAGTTTCAAGCAGAATGTTCCTGAGAAATCATCTTAGTTGATGAAACAACCTCAGAGTCTGAAAGAGGGAGGAGAAGATCAGGGAGGCAGGACAGCTGGGAGTTAAAGTGGGTCCAGTTGTTGAGGACATTTCAGAACGTCACCATGAGGTTTGTAACCTCTTCCTGGAGTTTGGATCAGTCCCTGGTTCTGTTTCTTCTGGTGTCTCCAACCTTTAACAACTGGATTATGGCAGAACCACTGCACCGGCAGCTTTCTATCACCACAGGTAAAAACACATCAAATGACATTTTTCAGCCAAGYCTGCTTGACCTTTACATTTTTACAAAATTACAAAGTTTATATTTGTTATATAATATACTTAAGATTAAACCGTCTATCAGAATTTCTTTAAATTCTTTAATATTAAGGATCTAGTGCAGTCTGAAAAGCCACCTGTACAATAGTGATTGTTCAGTTTTATAATTTATCTATCTATTATGCTTGTAATTTAGAGTAACATTATAAACAGAAACACATTATGTGTGAGTCATTTTGTCTTAAAGCTAATCTGGATTAATAAAGAAAGATTTGCTCTAACTTTAAGAATGAGGCTGATAAACTAGACCTGATGCTTTTTAACATAGTAAAAGCATAAACAGATTATWGATCATAAAGACAGACCTGCTAAAGACAACTCCATCCTGATGTGAACTCAAAYATCCCATAAAGATGAATTGGCATTTTGTTGTCATGACAACAGCAGCAGATAACTGGGTTGTGTTTTTCTCAGGGCTCGGGCAGAGGCAGCGCTCTCAGATTGTTGCGCAGCACAACAGACTGCGCAGCCGGGTCCAACCCACAGCAGGCAACATGCAAAAAATGGTTTGTAACTTCTTCTGTCTGCATGTGAATAATGTGTCCAGTGTCAGATAAATGTGAAGATTTGTTCACAATAAGAACGGATCCAGGTTTTTATAGCATATGATAAAAATACACGTTTTCTTGTTTTTTTTTCTTTTAGAAAAATACTGGAAATTTGTTACAAAGCCTATTTTTCCATTTTAAAGTGAAAGTTATGAGCTAAAGCCTAACAATGTGCAACATCTGCACTGCAGCTGTTTTAGAAATTGTTACAGAACTGCATTCTACTCTTAAAGGTGAAAAAAACAAAAAAACAAAGGAACCTAAAGTTAAAGAATTAAAGAATCATATATGACCCATCACAACAAGCTTAGGATTAGAACAAATTAGATGAAAATGATGAGCACATTTTCAGACTTCTGGCTTTTTACATTTTGATACCTGATGAGCAGTTCCAGAGATATTGCTTGATTTGTCTTAATCAGGATATCCCATTAATATTTGGTCAATTTCCTATTTTTATTTTATTCTAATGAGGAATTTTTGATGTCATTGTAAAGAGGAAACCTCAAACAATATTTAAATATCAAGAATAACCATCTGGGGGAAAAATCTTTGATAACTCGCACAGAATTTTTTTTTTAAATTTTTAAATTCCATTTAAAAGACTCACATAATTATATTTTTATCATATTTTGACAAAACGCAGTTGTTGCAAACATTTTAACCAAAAAGATATTTCTCCACCGACCACTTTGAAACGTAATCCCTGGTTCGATGCAATGGAGTTTTACTGTTTCACCAAATAAATAAATAAATAAATAAATAAATAAATAAATAAAAGTGAGTATCTCTGTTTTGTGTTGTTGTGTGTTGGTCTCTGCAATGTGAAACAGTTGTGTTGGTGCACCATGTGCTTTGCTCTGCTGCAGGCTGATTGATAATGTYGGCAGTCAGAATGAAGCCAAAATCAATTAGCTGTGCAAAGAGTCTTGTAAGGGTAATAGAATGAAATGACAACAATAAATCTTTTTTTTTCTCTTTTCTGCTTTTTTTTAGACACTTGAGATAAAAGAAAATGGTTTTGCTTCTTGGTCTTAACGATAAACGCTAACACCTCATTTAAAATGTTAATGTTTCACATAAGAAAAAAAAAGAGGCTTCGTGGAGGGACGTTTCATAAAATCAGATTTTCTGCTTCTCACACTCACTGCTGAACCATCTCCCAACTGCTTCTTGCTTTGACTTCTAGTTCTTATCTGCACAATTATCTCTCCTGCRTGTGAATATGACCAAACAGATAATAACAGATTATGAATCTGACAAAAGCACTCAGTACTTTCTCGGTCTAATACGAGATTTGTGGCAGGGCAAACAGTCACTTTGTTGTTGATGGGATCCTTCGAGCCGCTCGTACGGAGGGAGCMCTTTTTCTTTGACAGCTTTCTAGCCTCAGAGAACTGCTCTCRGCTGATAAGGTTGTAATGAGAAAGAGAGGATGTGGATAATCATCCTGCATTTACATCACTGGTATTACAGGTAATTTTCTCCATTAAACCCCTCAGAGGAAGCTTTGCCGAGCTGAAGAGGCATATTAAAGAGCCTCACTGATAAACGTTAAAAGGTTCAAGGCTGCGGCTGTTTGTGGATGGCTGAATAGGTTTTTTTTTCTACCCAAAATCATTGTGAGAAGGTTTTATTGTAGTGATTATTTTACAGACCTTAAAGCTTTTTTTATGATGAGATAAAACGCCTTCAAGAATGATTGATGCTCCATTTTCCTCTGCTGTCTGCCCTCTCGGCAGGTTTTCTTTGAGCTGAGAAGTATTATGAGGTCACAGCAAAGCCCATTGAGACAGAAATGAAAGTTTAAGGCTTTGAGAGTTGATATGTAAATCCTGACCTCTGTTTGTGAGATTTTATCTCACTAATCTCTCATAACTTTCCACAGCTCAGCGTCTCATTAGAACCCCTTCAGAGGCCAGAACTTTAAAGCAACATAATGCTGCCTCACTCATTTGCCAAATAATTAATCTAAGGGTTCTGTAATGGTGCCGCAGTGGAGACTTAACAAAGTAGAGCTGCTCAAAGTGAAACTTCTCACAGCTGATACAACATCTGTCTTGATGATATATTGCCCGGTGACCTACGACCCCGTCAGTGACATCAAAGTCCTCCGCCGGCCRACATCAGAGAGAACGATGGAGCTTTTTACGCCACAACTGATCCCTGTCGCCAAAATTACAGGCATTGGATTGTTTTAATGTTCCAGCAGTGACAGAAAAATTCAATCTGAGTTTCGGCTGAGAAAATATTAGCAGACATTCTGACCTTTCTTCTTTGCTCTATAACTAGTCACATTTGCAGCTGACTCCAGACACGACAAACTCAATCCTCAGTGAGGAGCGCACCCATAGCTCCACATCAGTTCAGCTGTCTGTTCTCTGCGGTCCAGCTGCTGATTAACTGGACCGCTTAATTAAAAGGACTTGAAAGACTAAAATTAAATAAAAGCAAGATGCATATTTTTCACCAAACAATGGCAAAATAAAAAATAAGCAGTTCAAATGGGACGTTTCGTAAACCTGCACAACATTTTCTGTGTCTTTGCAGACAAGTTTGGAGTCATTGCTTCAGTGAGCTAGAAAATACAAAGACAATGGGCCAATGATGCAAAAGAGCTGTGATGTTTTCCTAACAACAATTAAGCACTTTTAATATATAAACCTAACAAAGCACCTTTTAATCGCTTCATTAAGTCGAGAAGCCTAAAGCTAACGAGTAATTGAGCAAGAACATAAATGACGTTAGGGAGAAGATCTGTGTGGGTGATAACAAACACTTGGTTTTTAACTCCAGGACCAATTTACATCAGGTAATTTAATAGCAACATCAAACACTGATTACATCTTTTCTTGATATTTATTATTAAATAYTAAATTAAATAAAGAAATCTATATAACTTTTAAAAGTTTTCCTTAGACAGAGTGTAAAATGTTCTCTTTTATTTTTGCTTTAAACATGACAAACACAACTAAAACTGTAAAATCTATTTGTGAATAAGGACTGTTCTTTACTAACAAATAAACTACAGGAAATCATTTCATTATTCACATGGAAAATTAGGTATAATTCTAGAAAGAACAACCTTCCCTGGTTAAATATAAATATCATGAGATTAATGAAAGATCGAGACCATGCTTTAAATTTTGCTCTAAAAATGGGATGTAGTAGGAATCGTTTTGTTTCTCTAAGAAATAAGGTAGTTAAAGAAATCAAAAAGGCTAAGGCTGATTTTTTTTATCACTGTTTTGAACAGCGCAAAGGGAAAGCCTAAGATTATTTGGAATCACATAAAAAAATTGGCTGGGCAATGCAATAAAAATACAAAAAGTCTGGCAATTCATTGAAATAGTAAAATCCTGAAGAAGCCAAAAGTAATAGCAGAGACTTTTAATCATCATTTTATTAATTCTATGAGTGACATTTATAAAAAAAATTCACTAAACAAGGTAAATTATATCCAGTGGCATACTCAGCAGGGACCACTGCAGTCTTTTTCAATAGAAAACATTACTGAGAAAACAGTCCTAAATATTATAAACTCGCTTAAACTTTCAAAGGCTAAAGACTTTTTTGGAATGGATACATACATGCTCAAAGACTTGAGCCCAGTTCTTGCCAGCTCTATTGCCTCTATTACAAACTCTTCTATTTCAACTGGATGTTTTCCAGATGTTTGGAAGTCTGCCATAGTTACTCCTGTATTTAAAACTGGGGATCCAACTTCTTTAAATAATTATCGACCAATAAGTATTCTTCCAACTATATCAAAAATAGCAGAAAAATGGGTCACTGAACAATTCGTTAATTACTTAGATAGTAGTTCCTATCTCCAACCCATGCAGTTTGGCTTTTGGGCCAAACATTCAACTGACACGGCCACATGCAGTTTGGCTTTT